ATCAAGCCACATACGTTTATGACGCTTCCAGACATGCGACAGCGCACCTGATTACATCGTACGCATGTGTTTGACGCGTCGGGAACAGTTCACGCACTCAAACGTTCGTCATGTTGTTGAGAGCTAAGATATCAAGTCACATACGTTTGTGACGCTTCCGGACATGCTACAGAGCTCCTGATTACACCAGACAAATTGCTGGCGAGGAGGGAATAGTTAACGTACTCAAACGTTCGTCATTCTGCCAGGAGCTATGATATTATGTCACATTCTTTTGTGACGCTTTCAGACATGATCCAGCGTTCCTGTCGAATCACACGCATTGTTTGACGTGGAGGCAACAGTTAACGCACTCAAACGTTCGTCACGTTATCAGAAGCTATGATATCATGTCACATACGTTTGTGACGCTTCTGGACATGCTACAGGTTTCCTGATTACACATGACGCATTTGTTTGACGCGTCGCCAACCGTTACTACACTCAAACGTTCGTCACGTTGTCAGGAGGTGAGATATCGAGTCACATACGTTTGTGACGCTTTCGGACATGCTACAGGGCTTCTGATTACACCAGACGCATTCGTTTGACGCGCAGGCAATAGTTACCTCACTCAAACGTTCGTCACATTGCCAGGGGTTAAGATATCAAGTCACATACGCATGTGACGCTTCCGGACATGCGACAGCGTTCCTGATTAAATAAGACGTATTCGTGTGACGCGTCGGCAACTGTATACGCAATCAAAGGTTCGTCACGTTGTCAGGAGCGAAGATAATAAGTCACATACATTTCTGACGCTTCAGGACACACTACAGCGTTCCTGATTAAACCGGACGCATTCGTTTGACGCGTCGGCAACAGTAAGGGCAATCAAACGTTCGTCATGTTGCTAGGAGCAAAGATTTCAAGTCACATATATCTGAGACGCTTCCAGACATGCTATAGCGCTCCTGATTACACCAGACGCATTCGTTTGACGTGGAGGCAACAGCTAACGTACTTAAACGTTCGTCACGTTGTCAGAAGCTGAGATATCAAGTCACATACGCTTGTGATGCTTCTAGACATGCTACAGCGCTCCTAAATAAACCAGATGCAAATGTTTGACGCGTCGGCAACATATAGCGCACTCAAACGTTCGTTCATGTTACCAGGAGCTAAGGAACAAAGTCACATACGTTTGTGACGCTTCTAGACATGCTACAGCGCGCCTGAATAATCCAGACGCATTGGTTTGACGCGTCAGCAACTTTTAACGCACTCAAACGTTCGTCACGTTGTCAGGAACAAAGATATCAAGTCACATACGTTTGTGACGCTTCTGGACATGCGGTAGCGCTCCTGATTAAACCAGACGGATGAATTTGCCGAGGAGGCAACTGTTAATGTACTCAAACGTTTGTCACGTTGTCAGGAGCTGAGATATAAAGTCTTATACGTTTGTGACGCTTGTAGACATGCTACGGCGCTCCTTATTAATCAAAGACGCATTCGGTTAACGCGTCGGCAACGGTTAGCACACTCAAAAGTTTGTTCACGATGTCAGGAGCAAAAATATCAAGTAATATACGTTTGTGACGCTTCCAGACATGCTACAGGGCTCCTGATTAATCCAGACGCATTCATTTGCCGCGAGGGCAACTGAGAGGACACTCAAACGGTCGTCACGTTGTCAGGAGCGAAAATATTAAGTAACAGACGTTTGTGACGCTTACAGACATGCTATAGCGCTCCTGATTACACCAGATACATTCATTTGCCGCGTCGGCAACTGTTAACGCACTCAAACGTTCTTCCACGTTACCAGGAGCTAAGATATCAAGTCAAATACGTTTGTGACACTTCCAGACATGCTACAGCGTATCTGATTTACCCAGACGCATTCATTTGACGCGTCGGCAACAAACGCACTCAAGCGTTCGTCACATTGCCAGAAACTAAGATATGAAGTCACATACGTTTGTGACGCTTCAAGACATGCTACAGCGCTCCTGATTAAACCAGACACATTCATTTGACCTGGAGCGAACCGTTAACGCACTCAAGCAGTCGTCATGTTGCCAGGAGCTATTTAGTTATATACGTTTGTGACGCTTCCAGACATGATACAGCGCCTTTGATTACGCCAGACGCATTCGTTTGCAATAAGGCAACAGCTAACACACTTAAACGTTCTTCATGTTGCCAGGAGCTATGATATGAAGTCACATACGTTTGTGACGCTGACAGACACGCTACAGCGTTCTTGATTAAACCAGACGCATTCATTTGACGCGGAGGAAACCGTTAACGTACTCAAACGTTCGTCATGTTACCAGGAGCTAAGATATGAAGTCATATACGTTTGTAAAACTTCCAGACATGCTACAGCGTTCCTGATTAAACTAGACGCAATTTTGACGCGGAGGCAACGGCCAACACACTTAAACGTTCGTCATGTTGTCAGGAGCGAAGATACAAGTTTTATACGTTTGTGACCCTTCCAGACATGCTACAGCGCTCCTGATTAAACCAGACGCATTTATTCGACGCAGAGGCAACAGCTAACGCACTCAAATGTTCGTCATGTCGCCAGGAGCTAAGATATGAAGTCACATACGTTTCTGACGGTTCCAGACATGCTAAAGCGTTCCTGATTAAACCTGACGCATTCATTCGACGCAGAGGAAACAGTTAACGCACTCAAACGTTTTTTCACGTTACCAGGAGCTAAGATATCATGTCACATATGTTTCTGACGC